ATCTTGTCCCTTTGTTCTTATTATCACTTTTGCCTCTATACATTTCACTTCGCGTACTAGTCCTCCCTTTTCTGTTGGCTCTCATGTTTTCATCCAACCTTCCTCCATTTTGGGCAACGCCAAACACAACAAGTATCGCCGTCCTTACTCCAACGACCCTTATGTCATTACTCGTCAAGTCGGCTCTGATCGCTATGACTTACAACATCTCAAGTCCAAGAAGACTCTCACCAACATCCATGCTTTTCGCCTCAAGCTTATTCCGTCAGACGACATGTCTTCCTCTTAGCCCCCTGGATGTTGTGATTGTTGGTTTCTCCGCTTGCCTATGTCAATGATTCTCCATGTCAATGTCTTCCCTTGTTTATTTGCCTTTTGGTTTCTCCTTCAATCGCAGTATCATTATATAAGTCATCATTCGTAGTACAATAAAGAAGTATCATATTATCTCGCTGTATAAGCATTATCTCTCCTTCATCATCTTCCTCTTATCTTGACCATTGAATTCCTTCCATTCTTGGTTAAGCTTCCTTACAGGTCAGCCTCTTTATTACATAGTCTCCTCTTCTTATATAAGTGATATTACAGGCATAATCGATACATCACCCTCGTCACACTTTTTTTCACCAAGGTATTCCCCGAAATACAACCATCTTTTCACCATAATCATCCATTGGATAATTGGTATATCAACGTGCATAACCATTACATCCCCAGGACATTACATAGCGAGTGTGGGTTATACATTGGTGACGATGTGTATCCATCCAGCATAACCATGCCAACAGTCAATCACCATAGCCTCATGTCACCATTAGGACCATGCAATGGGGAAGCACACTGAGAGTCGATTCAATCGGAGTTGACAAGTGCCGGCTAATCTATTGGGTTATGCAGCAGGTGCCAGTGCTGACGCTGCCACACCTATACAGGGATCGCTCACACTCCTCCGGCATCCGAGCGCACATACGACTAAGGTATTGAATCGCAAAATATTGCGATTGGGAAGGTTAGATACCCATGTTGCATATACAAAATCTTGAGAATTCCACTGTTTCTGTCACTGGCGGAGTTTGTTAAAACACAGCTACTTGCTTGATTCATGCATCCAACAGCTTCAGTGAAGGATTGCAACGACAATGAGCATAAGAAAAGTACTGTATTAGTGCTGTAAATGTCTCCAGCTTTTTTTTCTAGTTTGAATCGTAAGGGTAATCTTTGGTGAATTAATGGTGAGTGTTGGCTATTAGCATGATGGGGGCTTTTTAGTGATCAATAACGAGATTGGTGTGGTGTTCAAGTAATAAAAAAGCAATGGCATACACTGATAGCGTTAAAAGATTATGCGTCTTGTTATTATAGCAAGGGTACAGAGTATATGGGTAAGTGCGAGCAAGTTTACAATGTTCATATATAAGCTAAGACATGTACGGGGTCATTCATATTGAATCGTCAGATTCTTGCTATTGTGGGCACAAGGATAGAAAATGAGAAAAATACAATAAGACAATAAAACAAGAAGTATCTTGGAACTGATGTTTATTCACCTAACCATTATCTCTACTTAAATACTTTTCATCGTGCCCATGTCAGTGTCAATTATTCATGCGTTTCATTCATGCGAGTGTTAATCATGATATGGGTATCTTTAAGAAGCGGGGTATGGAATAGGATAAGCGACCGATAACAAGGATCGAAACCCAAGTCGTAAGATCAACCCCTAGTTATTCACGTTTACCACAGCTATAGCGAAATAAAACGATCAGCTCCATATAAAATAAAACTATACGAGAATAATGACTCACTTGGTGTTCATACGTCTAACCAGTGTTGCTGTGATGGTTGGATGTGCGCGTGGAAGATCGCTAGAGATGACAGCTAAGTAAACCAGTAACATACGTTAATAATTCGTCCTCGTAGTATACCTGTTTAGTACGACGATCGTTTTGGTTGTTGACATCACGTCGTTTCTGTGGCAAGCTATTGGATCTTGTGTGTCGCGGTGTAGGTTCAACATTCTCATCTCGTTCTCGAAGAGGGGTAATCTCCCCCGCCTCTTGAGCCGAGTCGTCTTCGTTTGTAATCGTTTGGCTCTGTCGTTGGTGCTGTTGTTGGCTCTGAGTGCGATTACGATGACCGATTTTGCTGTGCCAATGATTGGAGATCACGTATTGCATTACCCAATCTGCCGTAGCTCGATTGACAGGGATTCCAGCCGTAACAATGCCCTCGGCGGCCAAACCTCTGAGTTCACGACGACGCTTTTGATCAAGCTTTCCCCATGATGGAATCTCATCGGTTCCGGTTTCTTGTCGCATGTGGTGAATAATAGCATCAGTTGCATATCTCACGATCCTTTCCATTTCCTGCTTCAACGCGTTGACCACTTGATCGTTGCTTTCTTGGCCTGTTGTTTGATGGTCCTTAATGAAGTTCACGATATCGCCGATCTTCAATGAGCGGGCATTTCCATCAAGGTTGGATGGCAAAGGTATGTTGCTTTCATTGTTGTTTGTGGCTGTACGTACGGGCGTGTTCATACATTCATTGATCTCGTTGACAGCTCTCAACAATTCGGCGATTTGCTGTCTGTTGAATTGGCATCCAATACACGTTGAAGCTTATTGTCGACGCGTTCTTGAAACTCGTGAGTTTGCTGTGTAAGCTCAACGATTGCCGATTGTAGTTCTTCAAATCTCTCTTCCGCAGTCGCGCTTTGCCGGTGCAATTCCTCGACGACATCCTGGTATTTTGGTGGCATTTTAGCTTTGTCAATAAGGGTTAGCTCAAGTTGAAAAGGAAGTATGTAACAACTTACTGAAACTTCACAACGCGAAAGAGGTAGAAGGTTCAACCAGAAATCATGCACGGCGGTGTTATCTCCTCCCGCTTGTTCTATTTTAGCTCGCATCTCTTTCTCTCGTTTCACTCTCTACTGCAACATGTCACGGTGTCGACACTGCAATCGTATCGCTGCGGCATCCCAATGGAAGATCCACGAGCGTCAATGTTATGCTGAATGGGCTAGTCAACGCTTAATGGAAATGGAGGAAGAATCCCTTACCAGTCAAGGAAGAACAGGTAATAAGAGTGTGGTTGTCTAATGGGAGCATACGGTCTGTGACATAACCTAACAATGATATGGGTGCAGAGGAAACCATTCCTGAAGTGTCTATCAGCGGCAGAAGCAGTATTGACAATTAAGATAACAACAGCGACGATGCCAACATCGAGGAGGATGGTAGCAACGAGGATGACAGCATCGAGAACGATTCCAACGAGGATGACAATTACGAGGAGGATGAACACAGCGAAGACGAGCACAATGAGTATGGAAGCAGTGAATCCAATAGCTTGGATACTGATGTCTCAATCAGGTACTTTTATCTCCTTCTCTTTCCACACAATGTCAAAGCAAATACTCATGTTCATTGTCTTCAATAATGGAGATGTCGCAATGGATCCCATTCGTGGTCAACCAATCGTGGTCAACCTTGAGAGTCCTGAGAGCCCGGATTTCATAACACGCAAAAGTATGGAGTTTTACCCTCTTGTTAAAGAGCTGGGTGTTTCTCGAAATGGCATTGATTCTATTATCAAATGGGTGAATACATACGTCAAAGAACCAGGATTTGGTAAGTAATTACGAGCACGTTATATGTGAACAGCTAATAAATGACATGTTTGTATGTATCAGATGCACATGCCAACCTCATGTCGTACCACCTATCCAAAAAGAACATGAACAAGATTTGTCCAGTTCAGCCTAAGGAGTATTCAATATGCCCAAATGGTTGCTGTATTGAGGCGTCAGAGCAATGTGGAGGGCGACTCAACTGTACCAAGCCTAGCGACGACCACGACAACACAACAAGTGTCAGCAGGAAGATGTCGGTTCTCCCGTTGTCTCAACATGTTGGAAGTTACTTCCTAACGCAGCATACCAGAGAATTGATCCAGCACCGGACGATGCGAGACCACAACGAAGGCATTTATACGGATGTGTTCGATGGAAGAGCTTATTTGGATAATGTCTAGCATTTCACCGGCGATGACGACATTGCTATCGCATTGTATACCGATTCGTTCCAACCTTACAAGAATCGTTCATATGCCCTTACATTGGTTATGGGATTGGTGCTAAATCTGCCACCTGAAGAGAGGTAGGATACATTTGGTATTGTGATAACATTAGATCTCACATTTTTTTCCCTTCAGGTACAAGAAGGAGAATATTTTACTACTCGCAATCATCCCAGGCCCAAAGAAGCCAAAGTTCATTTACACTGCGCTGGATCCATTAATCAAGGAACTCGAGATCTTGGGAAAAGAAGGATTGGTCGTCAACGTTGGTGAAAACCGTTATACTCTCAAAGTGCACGTGCTCTTTACCGGTGGTGACATACCAGCACTTGGAGACTTGGTAGGAACGAGCCACACTTCATATTACGGCTGTCGTATGTGTATCATAAGAGGAACAAGATCCGATAATCGAGGGAATATCGTATTTACCCCGCATCCAAATACGACCTTGTTACGAAGCATTGATTCATATCGTACGGGAGATAGTGTAAGTAGGCATCATCCATGTTATCTACTACTATATCTGTTAACCAGAGATGTAGGTGCATGGCTTAAAAGTCGCTAGTCCACTTGCTGAATTACCTTGTTTCCATGGCCCGTACTTTTTCGCTATCGATGAGATGCATTTAATCGGACACGGCATTGCGAAGCAGCTATGGAAGTTATTATGCGGTGGGAACGATGATGAAAGACCTCTATCATTACAACCAAGATTCATAAGGAAGATTGGATCAACAATGGCAAATGCGAGAAGCTCGACTCCAACAGCTTTCGAAGGGGTATTCATAGGTATAGTTCATTTATATATATAACGAGGTGAAGCATCACTATTGATATTAATCCATTTGTTTAAGATATTGAATCGCATTCAGGTCTCGCCCGAGCCGTTGACTGGATGATTTTCGTCTGCTACGTTGTACCAACTCTCGTTATTGAAATGATCCAACTCAAATACACCGACGTATCACGAGGCAGCAGCACCCAGACCGACATTCTCACGAAAAGCAAGGTTGCTCTTGTAGCATTATGGAAAGCTTGCATGATATCACAACGATACACTTTGTCAGGAGAAGACATCATCGTTTTACAGCAGTAAGTCGTTCTTTTATACAATGTATCAGACAACTTATGGATTTCGATGATAGGAACATCAAAATATGGCACGACTTCTTAGCTACAAGTGGTTACGAAGATGTACTTTCTATCAATCAACATTACTTCGGCCACCTTCCAGATATGATCCAGCATTTAGGACCGCCAAGATCCTACAGCGCACGTGTACAAGAGCGAGTGATTGGAATGATCAAGAAGCAAATTGCATCGCCTTCCATGCCCTCCGAAAATAGTACCAATGTGTTGATTGACATGACACAAATCACACATTATCAACGCTACATTTACGCATCAGATGCTGACGAGCATATGCATGAGGTTGCAGCAGCAGCAGAACCACCAGCCACACCACCACCACATTTACAATACATTGAACAGCAAATCGATGATGATGACGGAGGCACAATGATCATGATGAATATCGCAGAGCCCATCAGCATCGAAAGCGTTTCTCGAGATCAAGCAGTTGATATTTGGATGTTATTGGACAATTTCTACAGAAGACACAACATCGAAGCAGGAGACAACATGGATCAGAATATCAGTATTGGCCAACAAGCTGTCATTCGTGGCAATGAAATTCACGACAAGAAACACCAAACGCCAACATGGGACTCAAAGGAATACCTTCGCTAAGTGTTGTATCAAGCAAGGAATAAAGGTAGACAATAAGTCAGTGATACGAAGATAATGATTGTATTTAAGATATACTCGATACATGCGTATTTATATTCTATGGAGTGAAACTAGCTGAGATGAGACGACGGTAGACGCACCATTCATGGTGCGGTATTAGATCTGTTAGGCTGTAGGTAATAATGCTAGAGGTTCAGGATCTGTGTGAGGTATCGGTGTTCCTGATGCCAAGTGGCAACCGATGAATGTGAGATATCATTTGTTCAAGTCTAAAACACACATGTTGGATCTTTATTGGGTATGATGGATAGCCTGAATACAACACTAAGCTAAGCCTTCCCGTGGACTTGCGAGCGCGCAGAGGAACATCGACCAGTGATAAATTGGTGTGGCAAGATTTTTTTGGTACTATTATTATGTTTTTCGCTCATGTGAATCAAGGAACAACACGACTCCTCTGTCTACTGGATCTTGAGGTCGCTATTGACAAGAACGACGCCGGCATACCTATATACAAGAAGAGTGTTGCGAAGAGAAGTCGCAAAGACACGCAGCCATACATCACTCATGCACATCATTTGGATGCTATCTCTATGAAACTTCCCTCCATTGTTGACAATGATATGTTTTATTGCTTATACGACGCGTTCGATACATATATACCTGGCAATATAACAAGAATTTAATAAATATCCATATACTCGCCAACACAATAAGCTATTAGCCCATTATTCATCCACTTTTCATCATTTGGTCATTTTGGTGATATTGAGGTGATATTTGGGTGATAGAATTCACCCAAATCCTCTTTAAATCACCAATGGTTAAAATGGGGGTATTCAGGTTGTATTTGGGTGATTGCTGTAACCGAAAAATGACCAGCGGCAACCAAAGGTGATTTCTCGGTGAAATGAGATCGTTTTCAGGGGATACGGTCACCAGCTTTTCACCCATATTGTAGCATTCACAACTACAAGATATGCTAGTTTCACTGAGATTACGACATTACGATTATAGACGAGCTCATGTCTTAGATACGATATAGCTTTAGCGTAGTTTAGATGTATGTGTATAAATACAAGTGTTGTCGACGACCCGACAACGACAGTCTTTTTCCACCGAATCTCTCTTGACTGTAAGTAAGACGACCTTCATGTATCCCATTTAGTAGCTTGCTATCCTTATCTATCTACGATTGATATGGGACCTGCAATGCTACACATATCACCATTGGGGGTTTATTGGCGATGTTGGTTGTAATCTGGTGAAAAGATCACCCAAATTTAACCCATCAAATTGGTGATTGGCAAAATCACCCATATTTCCACCAATATCACCGAGTATTCACCTTTTTCACCCAAATTTTCCCGTAGTGCTAATCATTGACTTAGCTAATCATTATAGATTTTCAAGTCGATTCACTTACCATTGAACTCCGAATCATCGTGATCCAAATCGCTACGTTCCCGTTTGACCTCTGTATAGATGAATTCTTCATCTATATCATCCGAAGAAGTAACCTTGTCAAAGGATACTTCTTTTAATGCCTTGATAATGCCACCCCAGAGGTCCCCAGCATGCTTGCGACGGAAAATGAACTCGGCAACACGATACTTCATGATCGGAGCTGTTCTGTGGCGGGCCTTAATAATGGACTTGATGCCATTCCAGGTTCCTAAATCATATGACGAATTATTAGCATATAAGAACAAGATCATGATTATATGTAGTACTTTACACACCTTCGATGGTATTTGTATGAACACCAGCTGCAGTCTTGAACTCCTTGGCGTGGTTGACAGTCTCATGGCGGTAGCGTTTGCCAGGAATACGTGCGAGACCATTGTACCCCTTCCAACAGTCCGTTCGAATTCCGCTACCTTCTTTGATGTAATTACTCAAGATGAGGTGCAAAGTATCCTTCTTGCGATCTTCGACGGTTGTCACAAAAATCTTGCGTTCAGGAGTACGCTCGACACCGCCAACAACCCACACACCTTCAACACGATGGCCTTTGTGGCTTTTACGCTTCCCAAATTTGGATTCATCCACTTGGACAATGATGCGATTGCCATCTTCGTCAATGCCACCTATAACAAACATTATGTTCAATACATGATTACACATACGTTCTTACAAGCGATTGTCACCTACCAACAGATATATCTTCGTCTTTGATGTCGGCATTCATCAAACGATATAACAAGCGCACAACGGCACGAATGGTTGGTGCAGATACACCCGTCAGGTCCTGAATAGCCTGGAATTCCAACTTGTAAAGGTAGAGCCACACAATTCCAAGAACTTGATGCATGCCGATCTTGAGCCCCGAGAAAAAGCTTCCTTCACGAATAGACTTCTTTTGATGGTTGCAGCTTTCAGATGGGCGATGGGTGCACTTCCATATGAGGTTTGGTGGTCCATCTTTCTTGACTTCAATCAACCTCATGTCAATTCCAGCCTTGCACTTCATCGACTTGCAGTAAATCCCTTCATCGTATAACCATCTGCATAGAGACTAATACTTGACTACTTTTATTGCCCAAATAACAAGTAAACAAAACTTTCAACAGTCAAACTATCAGGAAATTTGCTTGTGAAATCCCAAATGGTTTGAGCACGCTTTTGCTTAGTATGATTCTTAACAACAGGCATAATGATCAATGAATGAAAGAAAGAAGAGAAAGAGAGAGTAACACCCATCGGGCCCCACAGCCACCTGAAAAGTTTTCACTTACGAAGTCACAACTTCCAAAAAAATGTCGTTATCGTATGGCTGATTAGATCAGTGGCCAATGATATAACTTTTGGTGTTGCTATGATAAGTGATGATCTTTTATTGCTAAGGATGTTCACGATATATATATGTTCAATATATGGACTCTATGAGTGATGTGGAAGATGCTAGTAAAGGGTTTCTAGTAATTGCCAGCATCAAAAGGAAAAGGGTTCTAGAAGGAACGAGCAAAAGCTAGGTCACGTGGTCACATGACCTACAACAATACCCCCTCCCGAAAATCTTGGTCGCCCTCGACCAACACGGAAGCGATAGCATTGGCAGCATCTGTAAGCTGGCGCCAACGTGCTCTTGTAGCAGTGGGGTCGTACCATGTATCAGGATTACAATCGGCCTTGTTGATATGAATGGGACGTAAACGATCAGTGTGCAGTCTGTTTGGCATTGCGAGGTCGAAATTCGTCTAGTACCAGCTTGCAGAAATCAATCCAAGTGCTTGCATCATGTCCAACAATTTCTCTTGTACGCCACCATGTGTCAGCATCTCTTCGAAAAAGATTGATGGCATATTGGACTCGGTCACCTTCATCCATTCCAGTCACATCAGCATAACGTTGTACAGATCGTAACCAGCTTTCAGCAGCATGTGGGGTTCTTGTTCCATGATAAGTGTCCGGTTCTCGTAGCTTGGGTCTAAACATTGGGCCTCTTTGGTTCTCCTGGTTCTTGAGCATTTGGGTCAATGCTGTTAGCGTACAATTCAAGGATCCGCACAATTCAAGGACACAAAATTGTACTAGTACAATTCAAGGACAGGCATTCTCATTACACAACAACATTATCCAAGTGCATGGATGACTGCAACACCCACATACAACCATACACAGCCTCGGTTGCTGGTGTGGGTGCGTTATGACAAGCATTTCAAACATCCAAACCTGGTATGTGATTATCATTGCATCTGGTATTATTGTTTGTTGGTTTGATGTAAAAAAGGCTAAACAAGATGGCAGGCAAGATACTTGGGTAGAAGATTGGCCATATTGTGGGGGTACCAATTGGAATGTCCCATGAGTTGAAAAATAGCGTCCGTCACGTTCGCGCAATTTTATACAAGGTGCCCTCTGCACAAAGTGAATACCCTCGTTACAATGTTTCTAGTACCCATCTTTTTGGAAAACCATACTGAAGGCGTCTCGTTTATATACCTCAACAGAGATAAAAATCAACCTTTATTAAATAAAGATAGCCCATACAAGTACCATTATCCTTAGGACTCATTCAATAATAACATCGGTCTGCTTGCTTTATTGAAGAATACTAAAGACGATAGAATGGCTGGTACTCGATCACAGAGAGCTCTATACTAATACTAGGCCCCGAATACGCTTTGTCGTTGCATAGATCCTTTATAACGGCCATGATCGTCAACATCCTGAAATTGTACTAGGACAATTCAAGGACTCAAAATTGTACTAGGGCAATTTTGAATTGTACTAGGTCAACTTTGAATTGTACTAGCTCAATTTTGAATTGCACTAGGACAATTTGGAATTGTACTAGTACAATTTTGAATTGTACGGATCCTCGAATTGTAAGCCAACAAATGCCGTCAAAATAGCCGTATTCATATCTTGTCCTTGTCCTTGTCCTTGCCGTTGTTCTTGTTCAATGCCTTCCATAATAAACGGTTGTCGATTTGTAATTTGAGATTCGTCGTCAGACAATTCAATAGGTTCCGGGATTGGTTCACGATATTCTTGAAAAGCTCGATTGTTCAAAGGCGATGGATGATTAAAAGTCATCAGCTACCAATTGTCGTTATCGTATGGCTGATTAGATCAGTGGCCAATGATATAACTTTTGGTGTTGCTATGATAAGTGATGATCTTTTATTGCTAAGGATGTTCACGATATATATATGTTCAATGTATGGATTCTATGAATGATGTGGAAGATGCTAGTAAAGGGTTTCTAGTACCGGATTTCCCAAAAGAAGTAGAACATGAGGATAATGATTTCGTGGTTACGGTGGTTGTTTTCGTGGGTGATGATTATTTATTCGTGGCTAATGACAAGTGAGTTCGTGGGTGGTGGTTTTTGGTTTCGTGGGTAACACTTTTGGTTTCGTGGGTAGTGCCTTTTGAATTGGTGGGTAATGCTTTTGGTTTCGTGGGCGAGGCTTTTTATTTCGTGGAGGATGACTTTAATTTTCGCGCAGGATGACTTTAATGTTCGTGGGTAGCGCTTTTGATTTTGTGGGTGACCATAAACCATTCTATGCAACAGCGTACATCAATCAGCAAATCTTATGCAACGTTGACTAGCAATGCAGCGTATGAAACCTTCATCATCACCCACGAGATCAAAAGCGCTACCCACGAACATTAAAGTCATCCTGCGCGAAAATTAAAGTCATCGTCCACGAAATAAAAAGCCTCGCCCACGAGACCAAAAGCATCACCCACCAATTCAAAAGGCACTACCCACGAAACCAAAAGTGTTACCCACGAAACCAAAAGTGTTACCCACGAAACCAAAAGCCACCACCCATGAACTCACTTGTCATTAGCCACGAATAAATAATCATCACCCACGAAAACAACCACCGTAACCACGAAATCATTATCCTCATGTTCTACTTCTTTTGGGAAATCCTGTAATTGCCAGCATCAAAAGGAAAAGGGTTCTAGAAGGAACGAGCAAAAGCTAGGTCACGTGGTGTCGTAGCAAGCATCATACATCCCGTGGGGCCCAATCTCAAGTTGCAAATACAAGTAACACATCACTCATTTTGGTACCACTGTACCCATCATTTTGTATACACATATATATAACTCTAAAGCATGCTATGAATAAAGGATAACTCTCTTCTACTTTTAAGTCATCTCACGTTTTGGCCATTGGCGTATCAGCCAAAATAAGAGTATCGACATTTGGTAGCTGATGAAAAAGTTCGATCCACACAAGCTATCTTTCACCCAATATCGTCCACCAGCCTCGGATATAGAAGAAGAAGATTTTACAACACGAACTGAACCATCGTTTGAGATGTCGAACAACCCAACTTCAGGACAAGGAGGGCAAAATCAGCCCGACTCATCCCAAGACGTTATGCAGCAACTTTTGACAACAATGACACAACTACTACTTAAGCAACAAGATACAGGGTTCAGCATCAAGTTACCGGCACCAGAGAAATATGACGGCACCAGGTCAACCAAGGTTATTGAAAACTGGTTCGCATCAGTGGAACGATACCTCAGCTTGAGCCAGCATCAGAACAACCCCGATATATGGTACATGTATGCTGCCTCATACTTTAGCGACAACGCACAAACATGGTGGCGTCGTCAACAAGAAGCAAAGGTGCGGGTGGGATCCTGGCAGCATTTTAAGGAGATGGTGCTCAATGAATTCAAACCTAAAAATGCTCATCGTGCTGCACGAGATCGTTTAGCTATGTTGAAGCAAACATCAACCGTTTCAGCGTATCTAAATGAATTCCAAGACATTTGGTTGGAAATTCCTTCCATGACAGATGATGAGGCATACGATCGTTTTTGGCGAGGATTGACACCAAGGGCAAGAACAGATGTGATGAAACCTAATCACCCAGACTCATTTGACAAACTTGCACAAAGAGCAGTACATGGGAAGCTGCCGAAGAGACCGAGATTGCTATTGCTAATGGCCTTCCAAGACCTGAAACTTACGTTCGACCTACCTTGGCAGCTCCATCCAACACTGGTGTAGCACCTATGGACCTCGATGTGATCCATACACACAATCCTTCTCATCACCAAAGTTGGACCAATCCAGGTGTAATGTATCACAACAATCAATCAGGTGGATACACAAACTCGGGCATCCCATATACTAATGGGTATCAAGAAAATCACCCAAGTCTCTATTACCATTGTCGTATTTCAAGTATCAATATACCCGAGATCCATCACCAAGTACAAGATGACAAGTCAAGGTATCACAACGACCACGCTTATCCCGCAAGAGGACACCTTCATGTAATTTTCCCACGCATACACTCAAAGTTAATTACACCACGAGCCCCATCAACTCTATCCATCATCTTGTGTTTCCCCACATCCTTATTTGTAAATCCCATCCTCATATGGCACCATCACACAAGTATCATAGAAACGTATATAAGACATGTTGTAGTTGTAGCTGGCAACAGCAGTTGAATACAGTATATTGATTCTCAACGTACTTTCACTTTCTCCATCATCTTCTTTTTATACGTAATATCTCAACCATGGCCAACATCAAGGACAAGGATCCCAATATCATCGTGGTAGACAACAAAGTGGTGGATTTCAACCTAAGCACAACAATGGGCCAACATGTTTTAATTGTGGGGGACGTGGTCACATGGCTCGTGTTTGCCCATCAGGTCGCAAGCCGTCGGGAAAAGCGCAAGCGCGGTGGAAGTAAAGGGAGCTCCATCGCGCGTAAATCAACCATCATCATCCCTACACACAATGCACACCACCCCTGAGGTGCATGAAGATGACAATCTTATCGATTTATCCGATGACAAAGCAATTCCTCCACAACCATACACTGCAGCCAACTCCAAAGATCATGCTTACATTGAAGAATTGTGTACAATAAAAGAGTCTGAATTACCACTCTATTCGATGACGTGCAACAATCTTTCCATTTCGGTGTTGATTGATTCGGGTGCCACTTGCTCATACGTATCACCACGCGTGATTGATGGTTTACCAACAAAAGTGATTTCAGGTCGTTCAGTGGAAACAGCAGGAGGCCACACCATGCCTATTACCACGCAAGTCACTTTACCTTTAAACGCTGCAGGCTACGTTCATACCATTGATGCATATGTCCTCGAAACCAAGTTTGATCTTATACTTGGGCACGATTGGCTTAAGCAAGTGGAACCAACACCGGAGTGGGGAATCGATACTTGGCGCATTGACAAGGATGGTCAACAATACTTTCTACATCCACAGCATGATCGCAACATTCCTGATCTCGCATATTTAATATCACATCGTCAGCTGCAACGATATTCGCGTGCTAAAAAGGTTGATGACTTATACCTTGCATCCTTGAAGCCCAATGAGTCTAATGCATCCGATGAGGCATCCATCAAAGCATTGCTTGACGAGTTCAAGGACATCTTTCAAGACAAGTTGCCAGGCTTTCCACCTGAACGTGAGGTGACACACATCATTGATACCGGGGATGCTGAACCGATAAATCGACCACCATTTAAGATGAGTCCCTTGGAGCTAGAAGAGCTACGCAAGCAATTGAAGGAGTTATTGGAGCTACGATTGATTCGACCCAGCACATCACCTTGGGGTGCCCCTGTTCTCTTCGTTCGCAAGAAATCAGGTGAACTACGTATGTGTATCGATTACAGAGCGATTAATCAAGTTACTAGACGTTATGGCCACCCATTACCACGCATTGATGAGTGCTTGGAACAATTGAGTGGTGCCCAATACTTCACCAGCTTGGATCTCAAAAGCGGCTATCATCAACTCCGCATTCGTGGTGAGGATGTACCAAAAACCGCTTTTAACACTCGCTATGGATCTTTCGAATGGCTCGTCGTTCCCTTTGGGCTACGCAATTCGCCTGCTTTGTTTCAATCAACCATGAATCGGATCCTTAATGACTACCTTGACGATTTTGTTATGGTGTATTTGGACGACATCCTGATCTACAGTACGAGCAAAGA